GCTTGAACATATTTATGACGCCCCAGCTAGTTATACTATGCTGGTCTGTTGTTCGCGGATACTTTATAACAGTAATGTCGTCTTACAGGTGGTTATATTATTCTAGTTTTAAAAAATAATATCATGCTAGCTAGTTGGTTATGAATATTCTGAGTGCAATAATTTATATTATTAAAAAAACCATTTATTTGATAAATATACTAATATTTGGTTTTTTTTTTTTTTTTTATAGAGAATAATTATGCTTAATTGAATCTCCTTCCTAGTTACAACAGAATTTACAATATACGTATTTTTTTTGTTTATATTGTTTTTTTTTGTATTATACTAATAATGGTTTTTTTTTCATAACTTTTATTTTAGTGCCTTTCTTCTCTGTTATCAATGTTGTAGATACTTCACTCTAGCTGATGCTGTTCCTTGGCGTTGTTATAAGTTGATGCGATTGTTATTAAAGCAAAAAATTCAGTTCGCAATTCCATTCTTTTGTCATGTTGACTAAAGATTTTGAATCAAAAAACGCCGACATGACGTCATATCAAATGAAGAATAACCTCCTTATTTCCTACTACGGAGAATAAACAAGTAAATCTCAATTAACTGGCCTCTGCTGCGCGCGAAATAAATAGTACATGGATACTGGACATTTATATGTCCGGTAAAACTCATCGGACATAGAAAGCTGGTCATTTATGCAATGTAAATTATTAGGGCAGATACGCAAACATATTACTTATTATAACTTTTCGATTAATGTAGTTTTTAATAGGTTTCGTTTATTGAAGACATCTAAGAGGTGATTGAATCAGTTTATCAGTAGCCTGAAGTATAATTTGGTGTGTATATTGGTTAACATTATTTTTAGAGAGATGCTTTTTGATAAACCATTACACAGATTTTGTTATCACAGTATTAAATGATATGAAAAGATGTTTTAAGTTTACATATGAAATAAAAATAGAGTAATTATGTTAATTTGTAAAAGAAAGTATTATATATCACTGTTTTTCAAATCGTTTGAATATTTTTAAGTAATGAACGATCAATTTTGACTTGGTTGAATAATATTGATTGGCTAATACTAATTTTTAGGCTAATTGGCGCATATTAAGATGGATTAAAAAGTAACTATATACCTATTATATTGTTTTTATACCTTTACTGAAATGATAAATGAAACTTTAGTAGCATGATAAAGGTTTTGTGTTAGATAAATTCATGAACAAAAAAAAAATTATTATTAAGTTTAATAAATAGAACAAAATAGCATATACAAATATCTCAATTTTCTCTTGTAAATCTTTCGATTATGAATTTTCAAATCGATTTATGTTCTAAGAATGTGTCATTCTTATTTTTACTTGTAGTATTTGTTTGAATTAAATTATGTAACTTGAAAGTTAATGCTGCTATGTCATCGTATCATGAAATAAATGAAAGAGCAGAGATTAATAAAGTTACTAAGTTCGTGGATCCATTGATTGGTACACAAAATGGTATAATAACTCCTTATTATTCAATTCTCATGTTATTATAATATTATTATTGATTATTATTGCTGAAATCTTCTTAATAATATTTATAAAAATTGAGCAAAAAAAGAGGGACATGTATTTCCCAATCTATGTCTTCCTTATGGAGTTGTAAAGGTGGGGTTCGATACTGATAATCTAAAAGATAATCAAGGAGGGTAATGTACTAATTAATAGCGATATTAGCTCTTGAATACTTAAATGAATTGTTTTATTATTATTTTTACACTGGACCCTTGCCATTTGTTAAAATAGGTATACTGTTGATGGAAATATTACAGGAATAAGCCGTAAGCCTATGTGTAAAATTGATAGAATTAATCGATGACTTCAATACTAATACATGAAATCTTAAAAAATAGATTTACATATTAGTGGAATAGGAGGTAAAAAGACAACTTATTATTAGTTATGTCATAAATTTGACCTATTAATTTTTATACTTGTATTTTAATTTCTGCAATTATACTTTATTTTATTCTTATAACCCAACAAACATTCTGTTCATTAAAAAAAGGTGAACCAAAATATGGTGTAATTTCACAATTTCCTTTAACCTCTATCTTATTATATACTATCCCACTTCGTAACTACAAATCTTTACGTTGTGAACGGTAAAAGATCGTCAGGTCGGTGGCTCCAAAATCGGGTACGTCGTATAACCACTTGAGTTAATATCGGTCGAAAGAGGCGTGTTAGATTTGGCGAGTGGT